CCTATGTGTATTGGCTCTTGGGGCTAAAAACCCTGCGTGGGGCCTTCCCGCACTTTACGCCCCTCAGCCAGCTCCTCCTATGACTGACTCCTCCCCAGGCTTTTGCTCCTCGGGAGCCGGACGCTCTGTGACGAGATATAAAGACTTTTATGTTTGCCCAGGGGCCCATCGACCTCGCACCAACAACTACCAATGTGGTTACGCCCCTGACTTCTTTTGTGCTTCCTGGGGCTGTGAGACCACCGGTGATGCCTACTGGAATCCCTCCTCTTCCTGGGACTATATCACCGTCAGAAAGCGGTTTCCCCGTCAAGCCCCTTCGTCCCCTTACGCCCCACAACCACCCACTGATCCTCAGTGTAAGAACCAGTGGTGCAACCCCCTGTTAATTTCATTCACCGAAGCTGGAAAAAAGGCTTCTTGGGATCAGTCCAGGGGATTTAAATAGAGACTTAGACTTTACATGGCTAAAAGAGACATTGGTCTCACATTTAAAATCAAATTAATTAAAAGCCTCCCCAGAGGTCCTACGGTCGCAATAGGTCCTAACCACGACCTATACCCACCACGACCTTGTGGTCCCTCCAGGGGCCTACCCTCCTCCCCAGCTGTGTCCCCTTCTCCGCTTAGCACCTCCCTATACCAACCTACCCTGCCTGAGGGGCCCCCCTCCTCTGCAGAACTAATTCTCACCCTAGTCAACGCCTCTGTCAGGACCATCCGAGAGGCCAACAATTCAGAATATCAAGAGTGTTGGGTATGCTACTCCCCCCGGCCTCCCTTCTATGAAGGTGTCGCTACATTTGGTAAACCATTATTTACTAACGACACCAGCAAACTCAGATGGGGCCTAGAGACCCATGATGGCCTGACACTCAGCCAAATCACAGGCCTAGGCCTTTGCCTTCTTAGCCCAAAAATGCTTCCCCCCGCACCCTTAAAGAAAATATGCAATCAGTCAATTACTGTCAACTCCACCTTTCAGTATATTCAGGCATCTAACACCTCTTATTTTGCTTGTTTTTCCGGCCTTACCCCGTATGTAGTCACTGCAACGTTTCTTGAGCATAGAGAATATTGTGTGTTAGTCATGCTCTTTCCCAGACTCACTATACGTCCCGCTGATGAATTGCTCAAATTCTGGGAGCGAGGCACCACAATGCCCCAAGAAAAGAGAGAGCCCATCACGGCCATAACACTTGCAGTTGTTCTAGGCCTTGGTGCCACAGGGGCTAGAACAGGCATAGCCTCTCTAGTCACGTCCAACCAGCAATACCTGCAGCTCTCTGCTGCCATCGATAACGATCTCCGAGAGCTACAGCAGGGCCTAAAATATCTCAAAGAATCCCTCGCTTCGCTTTCTGAGGTAGTGTTGCAAAATAGAAGAGGCCTAGACTTAGTGTTCCTCCAAGAGTGAGGTTTGTGCGCAGCACTTAAAGGAGAATGTTGCTTTTATGCAGACAAAACAGGCCTGGTAGAAGATAGCATTGAAAGGGTTAGAGCCTAGAAGATAGAAAAAAATGGAGAGAACAGAGTGAAGCGTGGTATCAAAATTGGTTTTCCACATCCCCCTGGCTATCCACATTGCTTCCCAGTGTATTAGGGCCGCTTGTAGGTTTTCTGTTGCTTCTCACCTTTGGGCCTTGGGCATTCAAAAAACTAACTGATTTTGTCAAGTCACAGGTAGATGCAGCCACACAAAAATCGGTCTCCGTGTTTTACCAACGGCTAGAACAAAGAGGCTCCAGAAAAGACCTCCGTGGAGAGTTTCCCAATACACCCACTGAGGGTCTAAATTTCTCAGACCTTGCCTCAGACATGGAACGCAATTGGTTCCAAAGGCTGTGGAGACGCTCATGACGGGATTATCGCGATGCCGTGTACCAGGTGCACACCCCGCCGACGGTGAGGTGACTCTATGACGGGAATATTGTAGGTCCATGCCCAGGGGCACACTTCATAATCAAAAGTGCCAGAGCTAGATGCCACCTACATAGCCTAAGACAGAGGCCTCACTTCACGTTAATCGCCCAATCTTATATTTGGGGTGCTGGTCGCAGAAGCCCATCGCGTAGCCTAAGACAAGCTCTCCACCCACCTATATAAATCTCCCTCATATAAAGAGAGGGGGAGATGTTAGAGGCAAGGACCCTCAAAGACCCTCAACTCCCCTATGACTCGTCCTATGCACGGGCTTCGCACTGGAAAATTCCAGCTATAGCTCCGATAAGAATGCATTCTATGATGTGCTGACCACGGGATGCTCCAGTGAGTGCTGACTGCAATTGTTCCCGACCACCTGCCAGGTTGGAGATGAGTAACCAGTCACAAACAAGATACCAATAAGATGCTGATTGAGGCTGATTAACCCAGACCCAAGCCTCATCATCGCCCCACTCTATTTTTCTGTTTCTACTTCCTTGTTTCTATATGCTTATAAAACCTATAAAAAATCCAAGTAAAGTAGACCTTGACAACCCTTTGCTTGGTCTCGTTCCTTTCTCTCGCCCATCTCTTTCAGGCATGGTCCCCCTTGACCCCATGAGTAACAAAATGTCCCTACTATAGCAGGTAAATGGCCATGGATTTAACTCCCTGGGTCTAAAGAGGCTGATCCTACCTACATTTTTTTTTTTTTTTTTTTGAGACAGGGTCTCACTCTGTTGCCCAGGCTAGAGTGCAGTGGCACTATCATAAGCTCACTGGAATTTCCAACTCTTGAGCTCAAGCAATCCTCCCGCCTCAGCCTCATAAATAGCTAGGACTACAAGTGCATGCCACCATGCCTGGCTTATTATTATTATTTGTAGAGACAGGATTTTGCTATGTTGCCCAGGCAGGTCTCAAACTCCTGACCTCAAGTGATCCTCCTGCCTCAGCCTCCCGAAGTGCTGGGATTATAGGTGTGAGCCACTATGTCCAGCCCCTGCCTACGTTTCATCATAGACTTACATTCCCCATCTCTAAAGAAGACAGTAATGCAAGTAGAGAGTGGGTGGCAGTAAATGTCAACAATTTGTGAGAAATAGCTCAATTAAGAGGCTTCTGTGAAGCTAATTTGCCAGAGGCTTTCAACCTTGAAATGTGCAGGACAACCCAGTGTAGTGGACACTGTGGTGTACCACACAGATCCCCTCTTCAGAGCCAATGCACCCATTCCCCAGCTGCTGAGGATTCACAGCTGTGACCCTCCCAGGAAATTGTCCTCAGCCACGAGGAGCTGCCTCACCAAAGTCTATACCCTTCCACAGCAATGACTGGCTGATGCAGGGACACAAAGACCAACACTGAATGCAGCCTCAAATGTTGTTGCCCTGGGAAAGAGGAGGGGAAGGATGATGTGGGGAACGGGCACACCGATGGTCTCAGTATGATCTGTAATGTTTAATTCCTTAAGAAAGAAAAGCAAATGTGGTATAATGTTAAGATTGGATAAGGCCTGATGTTAATACATGATCATTTTTTATATTATTTTCTGTTCTTGACAGTATATTTGAAGTAATAAAAATAATTTTAAAACAGGACCAGTAGAATAAAAAATGGGGGCTTGTGGGCATCTTTGTGCTTATTTAATTCCTTTTCCTGTCATTAGGCAGGGCACAGATAGGGGAAATTTTGTTTACTGAGCACCCCTAAGTGCTAGGCACTGCGCAAAGGGGCGTTCCATACTTGAAAATTTGAATTCACTTACACATTAGGTGGAATTTTATACTCTTTGAAGGATCTTTCTAAAGATTTCGCATTGATACCAGATTCCATTCACAATCAGACATGTCATTAAATTTCATTCTGATATCAAACTTGAGGACTTCTTGCAACAACTTAAACCTGTTTCTTCACTGTGGCGTAGATCAAGCCAAATCCTTCACGGAGAACTTAGAGCACCCCTTCCCGGCTTACCTGAACTCCCTAGAATGCACATGATCTGCCCGCTCTCAACGTACAAGGAGATGTCTTTGAGGATCTGCCTGTTCTGCTGCTTCCAGCAAGATGTGATGTTCCACCAGGGCCCGGCGCGATTGCTTTAAAGGAAACCCCAGGAAGGCAAAGACAGCATGGCAGCCTGGAACAGGCAAGACCACTCTCCCCCAGCTCAGACCCAGCTGCACCCAGCCCAGTTGTCTCTGGACAGTTCCTAATGTGTTCCAGCCTCAGTGCCCTCCTCTGCAGAGCCTGGCGGGCAGAGGCGGAGGCTGTCCATCACCTGCAGAGAGGGCCTGGCCTGCAGCTGCTCTGCATGTCCCCTCTCTGTCTGACTGGGAGGTGGTTGACCCCACATTCCTTCCCCAGGCTTTATTACCCCTCATGTTCCCAGCACCCCCATTCCTCAAGTCCCTGCATCCACACAGGGCAGCCACGGACACAGGGCTGGGCAACGGGGAGGGTAAGAGGCAGGGGTGCAGGTTGGCACTGCTGTCACATTGCTTGTGCCTGGGCCAGGCCTGGCCTGGCAGGAAGAGGGGCGTTCACTGTTGCTCCTGATTTCCCAGGTGCTTCCTCCTCTTCTCCACATGAGGGCCACTGAGAGGGAGCCTGAAACCCCCAGGCAGGCCCCCATGAGTGAGCAGAGGCAGCAGAGGGGGTGAGAGGCCAGGCCTCACTCCAGCGGGGGCAGGATGTGGCTTACCTGACACTGTAGGAGGCATGGAAGACACCCAGGCTGTGCCGAGGCTCCGGAGCAGCGTTGGGAACCTCCTCCAGAGAGCTCTGGGATTCTCTGCTCTCTGGGAGGCCCGAGGACTCCCTGGGCTCCAAAGCTAGGATATCACTCATGGCCAGCAGGCAGCAGAGATGGGCGAGTTTTCTGGTGACCTGTCTCTCCTTGGAGTGGCTTCAACTGAGAAGCTGGCGGCAGATGACCCTGTCTGATCCTCTCCTGGCCCTGGAGTCCCTCGTGAGGCTGTCCTGGAGGCAGAACTGGCATTTAGCCTCTGATGCCATTATCTGATGAACCTTTAGCCAGAGAGTCCTTATCTTGAAGGGGCAGCAGAATGCAGGCTGTTTGTGGGCGGCTGCCTGAGAGGAATGCCGGGACAGGTCCCCACGAGGAAGCCTGAGGTGTCCCAGCTTGAGGAAGCAGAGAGAGGCTGCATTGGCACCTGCAGGGAGCAGCTGGGTCCAAAGGAGCAAAGAGACACAGACCTGTGGGCCCCATGGCTAAGGAGAAGGAGCCGCAGAAGGGGGCTGAGCTCCAGAATGCTTCGGTGAGTGACAGGGGCACCTGTGGGGTGGGGAGCGGTCGGACCTTTCTCTTCCCACAGGAGCTTTCTGTCCCCCTCACCGCCTGCACTATAAGCAGAGAGAGAAGGCGGCAGCAGCACTCCATCTCCTGGCATCAAAGGCTAAGGGGAGCAGGGTCTGGTCCCGCCTGCCCTCAGGTACGCTCCCACAGGAACTGGATCTCCTTGTGTGTGAGCTGGGCTGCTGTGGCTTTTCCCAAGTGAAACTCTATCACAGAAACCTGCTCCCACATGGCAGGGACCCATGGTGTCTCCTTCCTCCATGAGGCTGTCAGGCTAAGAACCTGGTGACAGCAAAGTGATGGCAGGACAGGACGGTGGATGACTTTTATGGGAATGTCAGAATTTATGCTCAGAATGTGAGTCTAGCTGGGAGTCACAGGCTCCGGGGGAACACTGGAGGGGATAGACGGTGGCCAGGTGGCTGAAAGGAGAGGAACAAGATTTCCTCCCTTGTTTATATCAGAGTGTCACTGGATTTGAAGCTAAATTGGAAGACAGAGGGAAGCAGGTCCCTCCACCCTGTCTTTCTGCCTGGCCTGTCATGGGGAGGAGGAAGGAGAGAAAGAGGGGACAGACTGAGGACTCCACATGTAACAGGGAGGGCCACAGGCCACCAGGACTGGCCTTGAGTTTCGAGGAGCCCAGGATTTCTGGTCAGTTCTGCAGCCACCACAAGTGACCGGCTCTGCTGTCCCAGCACACCATGAGGCCAACCCCTGCGGGGACATGTCTGCAGCCTGGACAGGATACAAAGTCCCAGGGCTTAGAAACACTTGTGCCTGGAAGGGTGGCAGGCCAGCCCCCACAGCTCTCCCAGAGAGGCAAGGAACTGCCAGAACCCAACACCTAGACATGCAAGCAGACACTGCCAGTCCTAATTCCCTTCTCCCCAATCCTATTGCTCCAGGTGCTCAGGGATGGTATTCAACAGTTATCAGTCAAGCTAAGAACTGTTAAATAAAATAGTTTCTATCCTATCCTCTTACTTTGACATACTTTTCCCACAACCTGGAAGGCCAGGTGTGAATTTAGAAGTTCTAGGGCTTCTTGGAATGGCAGCCAGAATGTGGTGGCACAGGGAGCCACATCTCGCCCAAGACACAACCTGCCCCCTGCTCTGCCCACTCCTGGCTCCATCCCACTACACGGGGGCCTCATGCACCCCTGGATGGTCACCCCGCCTGCCCCTCCACCCCAGGGGCACTCAGGAGGACGGGCCTGAGAGGGGGCACGGACCCTGGGGTTGGGCTTGCGGTCACTTGCACAGGGAGCTCTGGCATCTTGGTATCTGGGGTGGCAAGTGCCCTTGGCCCACAGCCTCCTCCACAGCAGGGCCACGGGAGACGGAGAGAGCTGTGCAGGAATGTTCCCTCTGCCAGGAGCAAGCCCTGTTACCCCGACCCCCGCACCATGGGTCCCTCTCTAGGTACAGGCGCCTCACCTCAGAACAGGAAACCTGTGCTCTGTGCTCCTCGAGTTTCCTTCTTTTCTGTGCTTTTGACTCAGGAATTTGATCAGAAGTTAATACGAGGAGAAATTACAATGTAGCCCAGCAGGAGCCGAGCTGGTTACCTACAAATAAACCTGCTTTTGCTTTTTTGGGTGTCACCTGTCAGAAATTCGAGTGATGTTCTGACAGTCTTACTGATTAAGGTGTCAGCCGAATAGATATTTAAGTATTTGAAAAATACAGAGAGTTTGTCAAAACCTCAGGAAGAGTCTAACAAACCCTTCCTGGGAGCCAAGGAAAATATTTTAAAAGGAAACAGAGGTCGTCCCCAATCCAGGCACAAATTTTCTTCTAGAAGATGAGCTGTCTGTGCAGCTTGTGTGCAGTCCCTCCATGGTGGCTGGGTCCGGGCTGGCCCACACCTGCCTACCTAGCACAGGGAAGGGGCCTGGGTGAGCCTCAGAGCAGGGAGCTGGGTACCTCTATCCTTCGTTTTACCTGTCTTCTATCCTGTCACCTCTGTCCCCCAGGTCCCAGTGCCCTCCCTTTCTCAAAGCACAGCACAGTGGAACCCACCTGGATTTGAGGTCACCTCCACACAATGTTCCAGACTCCAAATGTCTGGCCTTCTTTCCTCAGCCACTCCTCCACCCCTAAATCCAACCTGGCCACCTTTTGGCCTGCAGAAGCCTTTTCTGAGCTCATTTACATCTGATGCCAGTTGACTAATATCCCTCCTGCAGGTATTTACTTTAAAACGTAAGTACAATGATGACAACAGGATGCACGTTGGCCCCAATCAGTCTCTTGGCAATTGATAGAATTTCTGAGAGCTTCACAGAGTCAAACGGAAGAACTAGGCAGTGTGTCTAGTGTGGTGAGGATGGTGAGTGAGGAGTGGGGCCGCAGGGCTGATCTGCCAGAGGCCAGCAGCTACCTAAGCTGCCTTGATCTCTCCCGGGGTGTCATCCTCCATCTCAGAGGATGCAGACCCTCTCCCCTCCTCTCTCTCCTGCTTTGGGGCATGGGCAGCTGGGGATGGAAGTGGGCGAGAGTTCAGAGAACTTGCGTTCACTGGCTTGCTCTCTCAATTTGAAAACATGTTGTGAAATATTTCAGACAAATCAATTTAAAGAATAGTGAACTCCCCTGTACCCACCACTAATTACCAAAAGCTTTGAAGCCTGTACCCTGCCCCCTCTTCGTGTCCCCTTTCCCTTTATATGTCTCTGTTCCCCAGAGATAACCTCTCTCCTGAAATAGGTGTTTATCTTCCCCATGTTTTTTCTGCATAATTTGGGATATTTATGTTGATAACTAAAACATTAAACAATGTCTTGGCCGGGCCTGGTGGCTCGTGCCTGTAATCCTAGCACTCTGGGAGGCCTAGGCGGGCGGATTGCTCAAGGTCAGGAGTTCGAAACTAGTCTGAGCAAGAGCAAGACCCCATCTCTACTAAAAATAGCAATTAATTGGCCGACTAAAAAATATATAGAAAAAGTTAGCCAGGTATGGTGGCGTATGCCTGTAGTCCCAGCTACTTGGGAGCCTGAGGCAGGAGGATCACCTGAGCCCAGGGGTTTGAGGTTGCTGTGAGCTAGGCTGATGCCATGGCACTTTAGCCTGGACAACAGAGTGAGACTCTGTCTCAAAAAAAAAAACCAATGTCCGTAGCTTTGGTCTGCTGTTTTTCATACTCTCTCAGAACTCAGGGGGCTACCATAGTAGGCTGGCCTCAGACTGTCTGTCACCTGTATGTATTTCCCTCCACCTCCACTGGTCTGGAATGTCCTTTCCAAGGACTTCTTATCTCCACCATTGCAGGGGTACTTTGACAAGGAGACTACCAGGTGTTATTCTCAGGTAAGGCGTAAGTCACCCTGCTCTGGGTGAGCCTCAGAGCATGAGTGTGCATTGTGTACACAGTGAAATAACATCTTGGTCAGATGCTTGAACTCAGCCTGCCCCTATGCCTGTCCCATTTGGCTAGGTCCTAACCACCTGTCTCATCTGCTGAAATCTAAGCTTCTCAAAGACTTTCTCACTGCCTCATCCCAGACTCCAAGCCTGAAGCACATTGTGGGCTCCCAGCTTGATTGATTGATTGAAGGGACTCATCAGTGTAAGAATGGCAGCTCTGGGGGAAAGTCTATGGGAACTCGTTAATGAATACATACTTGTTCCTGCTCTACAGAAATGAAAGAAAATTGAATGCGTTAGAAAACAGAAACCTTCCTAGTCAAGTTCTTGCTTTGTTTGGGCCTCAATGATGTAAATGATTGAATTGTTAAAATAGAAGGAATCCAGGTCTGTAGATGGTTAATACCATTCATAGGTATCAGCTGATACCATGAAACATTGATTTGTTTGACGTACATTCAAATATAGAACCATGTCGACAATAACAACAACATCATGACCGTGGTGGTAGTGATGATGATGACAGGGACTTCTGAAATCTCCCAACAGCGTTTTCCTTCTTTTTTTTCCTTTGGAGACAAAGTCTCACTCTGTCACACAGGTGTCATCACAGCTCACTGCCACCTCAAACTCCTGGGCTCAAGGGATCCTCCTGCCTCAGCCTCCCAGGCGTGAGCCCCGTGCCCAGCCCAACAGCATTTTCAATAGCTTTGTTGCACAAAATTCCTCATCAAAATAAGATATGACTTTTCTCAGGATGGTGTCTTCACAAGTATTGAGCATCAACTTGTCCGTAGCTGCTTTCCTCTCACATGCTGCATATGCGATGTCTGTTTGGCATTAGGAGATGTTACGCCAGATGCGGAAGAGAATGTTGACGGCAGGGAGTTTGCCAGCTCCTGGCTCAGTTCTTTCCAGAGCACCGAGGCCGGCAAAACCCTCTGTCCAGTCCAGAGTCTGGGTCTCATTTACCGTCAGCTGCTTGGGTTCAGCCTCTACCAGCTTGAGGCTGAGGTTCTGTGGGCCAAAAGCTGTCCTGGGAGAAGTCCCAAAGCTCTCTCTGAAGGGAAGCGGAGATGAGCCTCATCGATACTCATATTTTCTCCAAGCCTCGGGCTCCGCCTGCACAAACCCCTTTCTTGCCAATTCGAGGTGTCAACCACGTCAGCTGTAAGAAGCCACTCTTAACCTCTCTCAGTCCTCTCCTTCTCTTTTCTCCTATGTCCTCAGTGGCTTCCAAAAGCGAGCCTTCACCTGTCTTCTCTCCCAGCAGGGCCTCCAGGATAGCTTGTTCTCTGAAAATGACAACAGCCTGTACTTCACCTACAGTGGCCAGCCTAACACCCTGGAGGTCAGAGACCTCAGCTATCAGGTAGAGGCATTCCCGGGATTAAGGGGAGAGAAGTGGGCAGGGAAGGCCAGAAAATTCCCCAAGCGTAGGGGAGGGGTGAGCCCACCCCTCCACCCCATCCGTATTGATGCCTCATGTGTTGGGTTCAGTATGTGTCATTTATGACATATAGCTGGAGTGGAGACTGACAGGCAGAAAAAGGGAATGAGACCCTTGTGAAAACATAAAGCAAACTATGTGAATCTATGGGGAAAAAAAATCTCTGGATCACTCTATAACTTTATATTTTGAAATAATTTTAGACTTTTGAAAAAGTTACAAAAATAATACAGCATTCTCATATAACTTTTGTTCAACTTTCCCTAATGTTAACTTCTTGCATACCCACAGTATAACTATCAGAACTAAGAAACTAACAATGTACAATGCTGTTAACTAAACTGCAGACTTTATTCGGATTTCATCAATTTTTGTACCTTTTTCAAAAATAAAATGTCCTCTCCCTGGAGCTAATAAAACACCCAGAGTGCAGGGACAAACACTGGCCTTTCAGAGGCTCTCAGGAATCCCCTGGTCAGATTCACAGCCTTATTCCCACACCTCTTCAGGGGCAGACCACACCTTGCTCAGATGGAACGTGGTGGGGCCTGAGATGGTGAACCTGAGGCCCGAGTCTGCTTCCTGTGGGTGTGAGTTAGGACAAGCCAACGAACCACACCGTAACCCTTCTCTGCTCTGCCACTTACCAGCTGTGTGACCTTGAGCGAGTTACTTAACTTCTCTGAGCCTCATCTGTAAAACAGGGATTCTAATAGTACCCATGTTATAGGTTTACAATGAGGACCGAATGAGATAGCGGATGTAAGGTAATTAATACCGTGTCTTGCACATAGTAAACCCTTTATAAATTATTATTAAGTGAAGACATTTTGCTTTGTGATGTATTTTTATTTCTGTTCTGCTATTGCCCGTGCTTTCCTTACCCATTCATTCTCTTCAGAGTTGGAAACAGCACCTCAGGTCGCCAGCATAGGGTGGGGGCCAGCCTCTGTGTTTGGTAGAATCCGGTGGGGGGCGCCTCAGGCCTGTTGTGTGTGTGTCGGCAGGGGGGTGTCCTCTGTGGAGAGGGGCCCACCCACGGCGCAGGGGAGCTGAACAGACGGTGCTGGAGCCCTCTGAGCCATTCAGCTCCCTAAGGAACCTTTCAATGCCTCCCCACAGGTGAATATGGCCTCCCAGGTGTCTTGGTTTAAGCAGCTGGCTCAGTTCAAGAGGCCTAGGACATATCGCATCAGCCAAGATTCCTGTGAGCTGGGCATCCAAAACCTGAGCTTCAGAGTGAGAAGTGGGCAGATGCTGGCCATCATAGGGAGCTCAGGTACCACTAAAGGCAACCGTTTCTCTCTCTCCTGGGACGCAGAATGGTCCTTCAGACAAATGAAGGCTTCTGACGAAACCCTTTGCTGACGAGTAGAACAATAGGGCATATGGTTAACAGCACAAGCGCTGGGTCAGACAGACCTGGGCTCGAATCCCGGCTCCTCCATTTGTTATAGGTAGTTGCTGTTGTCATGAATCGTGAGAGTGCCTGTCGTCCACCTGAAACTGCAGCCGGAGCAGCTGACTTCAGTTAACACCTGCCCTGAGAGGAGGCCATCAGGCAGCTTCAAAACATGATGTTCTCTTCGGAGACTCCCCCAGCCACAAGGGACACTCGTTGAGGCTGTCCCTGCACAGTCAGATTCTGGCTGTGGTCAGACAGTCCCTCCAGAGTCTTAGCACAACCTTTAACCATTTGCAATGAGCAAGATTTTTGGAGTGACTCACAGAGTCCCTTCCACAGGCCAAATTTAAAATTAAGCCTGAAAGGAGGCTTAGAGAACAGAGTTCCTTCTCCTCATTTTGTTCTGCCTTTCTTTCTTCTACCAGTTTGGAAGCACTTTTATTGTTTTTTGTCTTTTCATCATATGGCTTACTCAGTATGGAAGTGTTTTTAGAGTAAGGTTTTCCAATTATCCTCCCGCCCCTACACACACACACACACACACACACACACACACACACACATTCCCTTTCATTTGACAGATGGGAGATTCAAGCCAGGGAAGTTGGGTGATTCTCCTAAGGACACACATTGAATGCAGAGCTAGAACTAGGACTTTGGTCTTCTGATTCTCAGATCAAGGCATTTCTCCGTGGAATATCCTTACATAGTCTCAGAGCACTTTATGCCTTTTAATTAATCATTTCCAGAGCTAGCGATTACTCAACTTCTTCAATACGTGCTCCAAACTTTCATATTCTTCTGGTAGAAAAGCTGTTTATTGTCTAACCAAAGATCAAAAGAGATGCTATGTGTCCATGCACTTTGTAACTGAAACAACATGTAATCATTATGTCCCTCCCACTTTGGCTCTGTCCCTGCAATCCTGATCTAAATAAGAGAAGAAGGCATCCCTCATGGACCTACTATTTTAGTTCTATTTATAACTTCTAGTAGCTTTTCTTGTTATACCTGCCTTTTCTACCTGAAATGAGCATCTAAGGGACACATGGGTCCTGATTAGCATCACTGTGATTAACATCTGGTAATTACAACCCTCTAGCCCTTAGTATCCCTGACTCATGGTTGAGGAAAGAGAAGTTCAGAGAGGCTGAATAGGAATTACATTAAGTAGTCCCCAGATCTTTTGACTCTAGGTTCAGTGTTGTTTGGTTTCAGGTTTACTTGACTATGTTAAAAGAAAAACTTTAGACAAATAAAATTTAGCAGAATGATTCTTGCATCTGGCAGCATTCAGAGGCAAGAGAGTTTCGGAAGGCTTCACACAGTAACAGGGGCAGGCAGTATTTATAAACAGGAAAAGAAAGTGCCCTACAAGCCAGGCGCGGTGGCTCACGCCTGTAATCCTAGCACTCTGGGAGGCCAAGGCAGGTGGATTGCTCAAGGTCAGGAGTTCCAAACCAGCCTGAGCAAGAGGGAGACCCCGTCTCTACTATAAATAGAAACAAATTAATTGGCCAACTAATATATATAGAAAAAATCAGCTGGGCATGGTGGCGCATGCCTGTAGTCCCAGCTACTCGGGAGGCTGAGGCAGCAGGATTGCTTGAGCCCAGGAGTTTGAGGTTGCTGTGAGCTAGGCTGATGCCACAGCACTCACTCTAGCCTGGGCAATGAAATGAGACTCTGTCTCAAAAAAAAAAAAAAAAAAAAAAAAGAATGTGCCCTACAGAAACAACTTGATTGGTTACTGCTTGGGGTTTGTCTTATTTATTTAGGCATAATGTGATAAGTCAGTTACCTTATGTAGACAAAATCTTATCAGTTGGCAGCTGTGATTGGCTGAAGCCTGGCTGACAAGATTGGCTGAAACTCAGCAATTTGTCTCAGCCAAATATATGCATGTTAGGTTGCAGTTTGCAAGATAGAATATACACATAGTTAGGTTGCAATTTGTTTACATACTGAAATTGCAGTTCCCTCCATAGGAACTGCAAATATTGAAGAAGTCTCAAGCCAAATTTAGTTTAACAGCTGAAATTATTCAAATGATTTCTTAGAAAGATTTATCAATTATACTTCCTGTGACTTTTACTGTATACACACACACATACTCAGAAAGAATGCTGGCTATAATTTTTAAATATAAATGAAAGCAATCCCAAGCATTTTAGCTTCTTCTATAGAATCAGCAATGCCCAAAGTGCTTTCCAATTAATGAATTTACTGATTTGGAGATTTCAGCCACTTTACAAGGGTCTTGAATGCCCATGGGTGTTTTCTCCTGGTTCCTAGAGGGTCTCCCCTGGTGCACCAGGTATCCTCTGTGGGAAGGCCTACCCACAGCTATAAGTTTTGCTTAGGAAATATGGTCTTTCTGCTCTCTGAGAGGGAATCCTGTGGTCCTTGTGAAGGTTGGCAATTCCCCTGGCTCCTGGAGCCTGGATGGGAAGCCCTCCTCCCTGGTTTGTCTCCTATTTTGTTCCTTTCCATTCTCAAGGATCTTACACAAGGTATGTCCAGGAGGCAGCCTGCCGGCCCCTTTCTGCAGACAGCCTCTGGGAAGTAACTGTATATATCACATGAGGAAGTTTCTGTTTAGTTTTTGCACTGGGTGTTGCAGGGCTGCCTCCAGGCGACATGTGTCATGTGTCAAAGAGGACTTGTCACATGTTGTGTTTTGCCATTTTCCATGTTGGAAAACAACACAGAAAACTTGCTCTCCAAAAGGAATATATAGTCAGGAAGTCAAAACCCCACGTGGGGGAATCGGACAGCGCTCATTCCCAGCTCAGTGATATGAAGATGTTCTCAGAGCCTGAGCCCAATTTGTATTCACAGTTTAAATAGCGGTCAAAGAAAGAGCCTTATGGAATGCTTTTGAAAACTATATCCAATCTGATGCTGACTTCCCGGAATCAATAATTGGTACATCATTCAGAAGTAGATGGTATTAACTTGAGTACAATGGATCTTTTTTTTTTAGAGAGAGAGTTAAAAAGTACCACTGATTAAAAATAAGAGAGAGAAGTGTGTAGACATTTTCAGAACATTTGTGTGCATTGTGCTGTAGTTTTAAAATCATTTCCACATCTATTATTTCTCTACTTTTTTCTCCCTTATTTCTCAAAATAGGTTCTGGTTTTGCATTTTTAAAAAATACCCTATAAATGCTCCAAATTAGTCCTTCTCACAAAGCCAGCTTCTGGGCCAAATGACATTGAACAGTGAGATGTTGCTGGTATGTTTGCCAGCCAAAAATAGTTATATTAACACTACCTGTGCTTGGGGAGAAAGGGCGATGGTTAGTGGCTGGAGGGGACAAACGCTCCGGGCACCAGCAGCCTGTGGCAGCCAGGACTCCAGCCCCCTTCCATCGTCTAGTTACTGGCTACCCTGGCCTGAACCCCCAGCAGCAATGTCCCCCCAAATCTCCAAGGATGTACAAGTTGGCTGCAGACAAAAGCTGTTGGAGCTCCGTGCATTGGGGCCACCCCATCTGGCCTGGCAGCTGTGTCACCTCTCTAGGGGCTGGTCACATCTGCAAGGACAGAACAGTCCAGGGTGCAGGAGAGTGTGCAGGGAGCAGTGCCTGCCAGGCTGGCCCCTGCAGAAGCTCTGCTCTCAGGGATGTCTCTGGTGGCTTCACAGGCTGTGGGAGAGCCTCGTTGCTGGACGTGATCACCAACCGAGGCCACGGTGGCAAGATCAAGTCAGGTCAAATCTGGATCAATGGGCAGCCCAGCACACCCCAGCTGGTGAGGAAGTGTATGGCCCACGTGCGCCAGCATGACCAGCTGCTCCCCAACCTGACCGTCCGAGAGACCTTGGCCTTCATTGCCCAAATGCGCCTGCCCAGATCCTTCTCCCAGGCCCAGCGTGACAAAAGGGTAAGCCCCTCCCTCCCTGCACTGCCTCAGGACCCAGCCATAGGTGAGCCCTCCTCTGGAAGCCCGCAGTCCACTGCAAGCCATCTCACCCCAGCCACTTCCCTTCCCAGCACTTGTCAAAATGTGCCATGAGTTTATTTGTTTATGTGTTCTGGTCCTCCACATGGGCAGGGAGCCCGGCTGTCTGGTCCTCAGTGCATGGCACGTTCCCAGCACGTGGCACCATGCCCAGCATGTCGGAGCGGCTCAGGATCTGGGGAAAGAATCAGGGGAACAAATATCGCAGCAGAAAAATAAAGTGCTGGCGCTGTCCTCCTTTGCGGTAAAACACAACCAGAGGAACAGGTGTTTGTATGCTTTAGGTCACCACATGTCGAGTCCTGAGGGAGCCCTTGGAGGTGGCCTCAGGGCTCCCCTCTTGCCCGCAGGTGGAGGACGTGATCGCAGAGTTGCGGCTGCGGCAGTGTGCGGACACCCGCGTGGGCAACACGTACTTGCGGGGGGTGTCCGGGGGTGAGCGGAGGAGAGTCAGCATTGGGGTGCAGCTCCTGTGGAACCCAGGTGAGGGGCCTGGGGCCAGAGGGGGGCAGTGGGGCCTCTGGCTTGGTCCACACAGAGTCCTGCTAACTCATCAGCTCCTCTCTCTGTTGGGAAGGGATCCTCATTCTGGATGAACCCACCTCTGGGCTCGACAGCTTCATGGCCCACAACCTGGTGAAGACCTTGTCCAGGCTGGCCAAGGGCAACAGGCTGGTGCTCCTCTCCCTGCACCAGCCCCGCTCGGACATCTTCAGGCTGTTTGACTTGGTCCTGCTGATGACGTCAGGCACCACCATCTACTTGGGGGCAGCCCAGCACATGGTGGAGTATTTCACGGCCATCGGCTACCCCTGTCCTCGCTACAGCAACCCTGCTGACTTCTATGGTGAGCCAGCGAGGCCAGCAACCTCTGCCCCCAGCCCTGCCAGAGCTTGCTGAAATGACTCAGGAGAAGAACTCTCGGGGGCCTCAGGGAAGGACGAGGGAGGGGGTGCTGGGCAGAGCAGGCTAGAGGATGGGGTCGGTTTGCCAAGTATCAGATGCTGGAAATGAAGACGTGAAAAAAGCAGCTTCTGACAAATAGCCACCCTTCTGTGCAGGACAGGTTCGAAACTTTCAGGAGCTCAGTGATGGGAGAGGATGGAATCTCAGGGGTGTGGATCAAGTTCTGCAACTATGGTCATTATGCAGACTTTGTAGGGAAACTTAGGGTCTCTAAGGTCAGGAAGCGACCAGGAAATCTTAACATTGTGCCCTGGTGGCCCCACAGAGACACCCTGAAGGTGCAGGGTGGCAGAGGGGCAGGGCACGGCCGGCTCAGGTCCTTTGTGGTGGTCTTGGCCAGTGAATCTCCAAATAGGAGAATTGCTCAGGCAGCCTCAGACATGCCTTTCTTCTTGCGGCCTGGGCTGTCAGCATGCCACACTCGGAGCCACAGCCTTCATGCAGGGGTGGGGGGAGCTTGCCTCCCCAGACGCCCGCCCTGAACGCAGGGACCTGGATCCTGAGTGCTGAGGAGGGGCGCAGCCTCTGGACAGGCAGCGCTGTTGTACTGTGGGCAGGGAAGCTTGTCCCACAGTCTCCGGGAGCCCCAGGTTCCTCCTAGGATGTCGAGATGTAGCAAGAACCTCACTAGTAAATAAGGTGACGGGGATCATCTCCTTGAGGGCATAGACTGGGCCCCAAAGTGCCAAGCTCCAGAGGGTCTCCCGTGTGACCCTCACATCCCTGCTAGGCCCAGGGCATCTCCATCTTCACAGAAGGGAAGACAGGAGTCTGAAGGCTGTAAGGCATGGAACTGGGCTGGGTGCCAGCCCCGGCCCTGACTGCAGCGCCAGCTGCCCGGGCCTGCCTCCCAGTGTCCTGAGCCTGCCTCCACCGTGCCCTCAGGACAGACTGCCCCTGGCCTGTGTACTCACACTCTGCATAAACTCTCGCAGAGGTCATTGCCCTTCCCTGTGCTCAGATGACAGCCTGGTTTCTAGCTATGTGTTATCGTCAGGCCAGCCACCCCCAGAATAGGGGACAAAGGGCACCTGCTAACCCGGGAGCAATTTGAAGTCACGCTGGAGAGGGGTTACCTGAAGTCACTAGCAGGCCTGCAAACTCTTTTTCTTTTTCTTTATTTTAATTATTAATTGAGGTGGTGGGACTTTACCTACAGGCCCTGGGGCAGGAACCTCTCACCAATCTGGGCTGCAGGAGCTACACAGGGCCTGGGCATACCCATAAAATCTGGTGTTTTGAACCATAGCCCTACATACTACGGAAACACATCATGGTTTACAAGACCGGTCCAGATAAGATCCTGTCTTGACATGAGTTGTGAAAATGGAGGAGGGAAGAGGGGAGAGGTGGAGGGGTAACCCCCGGCCAAGCCAAGGCTCTGAGGAAGGAACGGAGGGTGGGTGGGCGGCCTAGGGCCTGGTGTGAGCTGGGTGGAGGGAGGGCGGCTGTGGCTAGGTGGGGCCCACCTTTTCTGGACCAGCCTTGCCGGGGCCTTGGAAGTTGAGGAAGAGGCCGTGAGGAGGGCTGCGGTGTAGGGCTGCCAGGTGGCCTCGACAGGTGGTACCCCCAGGATTCCAGAGGTTGTTCTCCAGCTGGGTGTGCTGACTCCCTCCCCGGGGCAGGGAAGCTGACCAAGGGCTGGGCCCTGGCACCCTCCAGCCAAACACACTCCTGCTTGGGACAGGCTGCTGGAGAGGCCAAATTATTAATTTACGATGAGATAAAACTGGCAGGAGCCCGACTGCCCAGCCTCCCCTGACCCGGCCACCTTCTCCCCATGGGCAGGCACTCCTGGGAGGTGAGTCCTCATCAAAACTTCCTGGACAGCTGGAGTCAGAGCCCAGGCATAACCGTGATGTGGCTCTTGGATCTGAAGGCTCCTGCTCTGTCCTGGGGTGTTCCCCAAATGAGCCTGGGTGGTGGGACAAGGCACAGGGCCTCTGCCGTCCTCCACTTCCTGATCCACCGCCCTTCCCTTGCGGCTTCTGCAGATGTGATCAGGGTGGGAGGGTGAGGGGCCAGCCCTGGGGGTTTCTTTGGCCCTCTCCGCTCTGACCATTGCTTCATGGGTCACTCTCAGAGGGTGGGGAGCATGTCCTGGAGCCCCCTGAGGGCTAACCAGTGTTGTGGACTGGTTTTGCAACAAGCTCCTCACCTGTGAGCAGGTGTGAGGGACCAGGTTGCCCTCAGCCCCACGCCCTCTGCTTACAGTGGACTTGACCAGCATCGACAGGCGCAGCAAAGAGCAGGAAGTGGCCACCAGGGAGAAGGCTCGGTCACTTGCCACCCTGTTTCTAGAAAAAATACGTAGCTCAGATGACTTTCTGTGGAAAGCGGAGGTGAAGGAGCCCGACGTGGGCACTTGTGTAGAGAGGTAAGGGGTCTGCGGCTGCGAGAGGGATGGACGCTCCCTGCAAGAGGTGGCCACTCCCTTGACCCAGCCTCGTGCTCTGCCCCCCAGCAGCCTGGCCCTCCCACAGGACACCAGCAGCCTCCAGACTCCCATTGAGCGGCCTGGGGCGGTGCAGCAGTTCAGCACGCTGATCCGGTAACTGTCATTTCATCCCCCCTCGAAGACTTTGCATATGACATCAAGCTCTTTCTATCTAAAGTGAATTTGAGGAAGGAAGAAAGAGGTAGAATTATTTGAGAAAACAGCATCTTAGGGACCAGTACCAGACCTCAGTGTGACACAGAATACTCCTGTTACTTTTCTTTTATTCTTTAAGCAAAATTAAAATACCCTTACTGGCTGGATGATCATAGACATAGCACAGGATCGTTGTGAAAAATCAGACAACACGAGCGAATCTCAAGTGGGAAGGAGAAGTCCCGGTCACACCACCCCTCAAAGGATACCAGACCCAACTGGTTGGTGTGTGTCCTTCTAGATGTTTCCATGCATGGGAACATTTTAGTACATAAGTGGTGTCACACTCTGCTGTTCTGTAACTGGCTTTTTGTCAGTTAGGATGGCGCCTCTAGCTCTCGCCTGGCAGATCTTTCTCAGCATCCCGGTCTAACCACAATCCACTTGCCCGCCAAATCCACACGACCGTCAGATGATTTTCAGGCCTTTGCTGTTACAAGGAATGCTACAGCAAACTTCCTTGTCCCTACATCTTTATGGACCTAATGGATTTTTTTCCCTCAGGATAATTTCTTTAAGTAAAATTGCCAGGCTGATACATTGATGATAAAAGTAACAATCATGTATTGATTACCTACTGTGGGCAGATGCTTTCATCAATTTTCTGATTTTTTTTTTTTTTTTTTGAGACAGAGTCTCGCTTTGTTGCCCAGGCTAGAGTGAGTGCCGTGGCGTCAGCCTAGCTCACAGCAACCTCAAACTCCTGGGCTCGAGTGATCCTACTGCCTCAGCCTCCCGGGTAGCTGGGACTACAGGCATGCGCCACCATGCCCGGCTAATTTTTTATATATATATCAGTTGGCCAATTAATTTCTTTCTATTTATAGTAGAGACGGGGTCTCGCTCTTGCTCAGGCTGGTTTTGAACTCCTGACCTTGAGCAATCCGCCCGCCTCGGCCTCCCAAGAGCTAGGATTACAGGCGTGAGCCACAGCGCCCGGCCAATTTTCTGATTTTAATCCTCAGAGCAACTCTGTGCAGTGGGCATCACTACTCCTAGTTTACAGAGGAGAGCAAAGAGGTTTACAGAGATTAAGCGACATTCCCAAGGTCAAAGGACTGGTATATCTCATTCCCTTAGCACCTCTTTCTTTTGTTTGTTAAGTCGTCAGATTTCCAACAACTTCCGAGACCTGCCAACCCTCCTCATCCATGGGGTGGAGGCCTGCGTGATGTCCCTGACCATCGGGTTCCTCTATTATGGCCACGGGGCCAACAAGCTCTCCTTCACGGACATGACGGCCCTCTTGTTCATGATTGGCGCTCTCATCCCCTTCAACGTGATCCTGGGTGTCATCTCCAAATGTGAGTGGGGCCTGCTCTCATGACCAGAATGCGGAGCAGTGGAGGCCAGGACAGCCACTGCCCTCCAAGCTGTGTCCCTCCGGGCTACTAGGGAAAATGGGTTTGCCGAATAATTTCGTTGCCATTTTTTCATATCACAATGGCAAGGAAATTATTAATTGTTTTTCATAGTTTCAAAGTTTAATATTAGTATGAAAATGAAAGCAAATTACCGAGTCTCAGCAATTCCTAGCCTAGTGGGATTTATACCTGACAGCAAAGCGCAAGCCTCAAGGTGCAAACCCTAAAGACCCTCATCAAACATCTAAATTAGTATGGTTTTACTGTACCTGTGCCTGTTTTATTTTTAAAATCACAAGACATTGAGGCAATATAACTCTGAATTGTATTAAGGGAGACTTGAAAACAGAAACACTGTAGATTAATTTCATTTTTTTTCCTTCACCCCCTTTTCTAGGTTACTCGGAGAGGGTAATGCTTCACGCTGAACTGGAAGACGGGCTGTACACCACTGGCCCATATTTCTTTGCCAAGGTGATTGGGCAGTGTTGAAAGCAGGGCCCCCCAGGGTGCGGGCAGGCTGGAGAAGGCATTGTCACAGGGAAGCGTGTTGCTGGAACACGGGGCGTGTGCCACCTGTGGTTGCAGACGCCACATTTCCTTGGGGAGTTTCAGAGACTTGACCTTTTTTTCAACATTTACCAGAAGACCAGGACTGTGGCCCAGGAATGCTACTTTTCTGATCGGCAGGAACCTAAAAAAGAAGCACTCAGCATACTTTCCCTCTCTAGAGCCTCACTGTGGTCCCAGGGCACAGCAGGCAGGTGTTTCCAGGAAGCAGAGGTTCAGAGAGGTTAGGTGGCTCTCCCAAGACCACACAGCTACAGGTCTGGTCGGGAGGGGTAGGGACTTGAAACCAGGTCTTAGAGGAGCAGGTACCCTAGGCCTCCCTGGGAGAAACAGGCCGAACCGGCCCAGAGGGAGCACTTGGTGTCAGCAGGAGCAGCCAGCAGTGAGCTCGCGCTTGTGCGTCCTGCACACCCACACCCATTGCAACAGCCCGATTGTCACCAGAAGGGAAGGTTGGCATTGCTGGGTGTCACTGCCTTTAAACGTTTTAAAATAATGGCAAATGAGGTATTGGCTGGACCTCCTTACACGGGCTACTTTTTGCAGATCCTAGGGGAGCTCCCGGAGCACTGCGTCTACACCATCATCTTTGGGATGCCCATCTACTGGCTGGCCAACCTGCAGCCGAGCGCCAAGCCCTTCCTGCTGCACTTCCTGCTGCTGTGGCTGGTGGTCTTCTGCTGCAGGATCATGGCCCTGGCCACCTCGGCCATGTTCCCCACCTTATACATGGCCTCCTTCTGTGGCAACGCCATTTACAACTCCTTCTACATCACCGGGGGCTTCATGATAAGTTTGAGCAACCTGTGGACAGGTAAGGCCTGCTCCCCCTCACCTGGTCAAGCATTTTTAGGCCTTGTGATGCTGGATTAAGCCTGCCTTTTTCTGGCAATGAAAACTCATCATTTGGATCCAGCTCGGGGCTGGCCCTTCTGGAAGCAGATGCCTTTGCCAGCGTCGTGTGGGCCCAGGGAACAGTTCCACTAGAGGATGCAGATGCCCCTCCCCATGTCCCACAGCGACACCCAGGAGTCACCCTTGGTCTCTCCCTACATTCACCAGTGTGCCAGGTCAATTCTGCCTCCTAAGTCTTTCCGAAATGTCCCCTTGGCACTGTCCCCAGCCCTGCCCCATCATTTGCACCTGAGCCATTGTGACAGTCTGGTCTCTGTGGCCAAAGTCCCTGCACATCCCAATTAGCTCTCAGCCATGCACAGTGAGCTTTCTAAGGTGCAAATCCCTGTCCCTGCTTGGTCCAAACCTCCCGGAGCACACCCCTCCCTCTCACCTCTGAGCCTGTCTAGCTTTCCTCTTGGGAAGCTCCTGGCGGGGCTCATGGCTTCCTCCCCCGCCCCCACACCATGACCGACTCCAGCTTCTCTGGCTTGGGGCTGAGTCCCCTCAGCCGCCTGCTCTGTGAACCTGAGCACATGCAGGGACACCTAATGCAGTGACTTTCTAGGCTTGTTACGGATAAACTGTGTGGGTGACCCCACCGCCGCTTAGCATCCTTTGCCCCGGGACGTGTCCCCAGTAGCCCCTCTGGCCTCTGTTCTCCCGCCCCTTCCTCGCTCCTCAGAGGACTTGCTTCCCGGGGCCAGAGCCACCATGCCGCCCTCACAGACAGGCACCGTCCCAGCAGTGGCCAGTGCCCTTGTGCAGGCGGGGGAGACCGTGTGAGTGACGTGGCTCTTGCTGTCCCCAGTGCCTGCGTGGATTTCCAAAGTGTCCTTCCTGCGATGGTCCTTTGAGGGGATGATGACAATCCAGTTTAGCGGGCAGCTTTATAGCATGCAGCTGGGCAACCACACCGTCTGGGTCTCGGGAGACGCGGTGAGTAGGGAGGCCTCGGACTCCAAATCGGTGGGCGTCCCGCAGAGCGTGTTCTAACCACTCCGCTCCCGCGCTGTCGAGAGCCTGGCCACAGCCCGCACCCACAGCCCGCACGGTAGTGTGCGCTGCGCACTGAGGGCGAGCCCGTTCTGCTCTTGTGTGATGAGGAAAGCTTTAAAGCACTGAAAGCTTTCTTTACTTTACAGGCAGCTTTACTTGTAATGTGAATCAGAATAGGTAACATATGCATATATGTTTTCATTACGTTTTAAATGTTCGCAATTTTATTTGATAAATGAAAATTAGAAAAGTCAGCCGGGCGCGGTGGCTCACACCTGTAATCCTAGCTCTCTGGGAGGCTGAGGCGGGCGGATTGCTCAAGGTCAGGAGTTCAAAACCAGCCTGAGCAAGAGCGAGACCCCGTCTCTACTATAAATAGAAAGAAATTAATTGGCCAACTAATATATATAGAAAAAATTAGCCGGGCATGGTGGCGCATGCCTGTAGTCCCAGCTACTCGGGAGGCTGAGGCAGGAGGATCGCTTGAACCCAGGAGTTTGAGGCTGCTGTGAGCGAGGCTGGCGCCACGGCACTCACTCTAGCCTGGACAACAAAGCGAGACTCTGTCTCAAAAAAAAAAAAAAAAAAAAAAGAAAAGTCATATCACGGCTGTCGGCCAAAGTCGACGCTGGGCTGTGGGCGTTTGTCTGTGGCTGTCGACTGTAGTCGACGCTCGTACGCAAGTGGTTTTAATGAGCTCAATGAATGTTTGTGTCTCCAGATCCTCAAGGCTATGAACCTGAGCTCGTACCCGCTCTTGGTCATCTACTTCATCATCATTGGCATCATTGGTGGCTTCACCGTCCTGTACTATGTATCTTTAAGGTTTATCAAACAGAAATCAAGTCAGGACTGGTGATTCACGCCCAGGCTCCTCCCCGCTGGTGGAGGACTAAAGCGGACCCTTCGACTGCACTCCCTTCCCCCAGGAAACCCCTTCCTGGGGACAATGATAATAGTCACTGGCTACAACCGCCCCACGGTGCTGCAGTGGCACAGACCAGCCACAGGATGGCAGTAGAATAAAGATAGTCAAAAGGCATTTCTGATCTCTGGCAGGAGATTGCCATTCCTGGAAGCGAGAAACCCTGCACTTGGTGGCACCTACAACGTTGCTAATTTATTTCCTTTTGATGTGTATGTATATGGGCAACTCAACATAGGATGGGAGCAAATTAGGGATGAACTGAGTAGCTAGGCTATACGGGAATTGCTAGAACCCAAAGGAAACAATAACATAATAGCTAGCAAAAGACTTGATCTCCTCTTCTGGGGCCCCAGACTCTGTGATTAGCCACTTCCAACACATGAAGTGATCTAAAACATAACGTCGAGATGTCATCCTTCTTTTTGCGTGGGGTCATGAGCTCCAAAAGCCAAAGTAAATAACTAAAAATTTATTGAGCATCTATTCTGTGGCAAGGACAGTGTAAAATGTTTTATGTGGACGCCACCATCTGATTCTCAACACTGCCCTTTGAGGTGAGCAGTATCTCATTTAATAGGTGAGAAAACGGAGGCACAAATTCATTTTGCGAAGGGCACACAGACACTACGTGGTGGAGTCCTGTGGGGGTCAGAAAAGCCTTGGGCCTGAGCCACTGTTAGGCTTGGAAACCCAGCAAGACGGGTTCACAGAGACTCAGCCAGGCCTCTTAGAGTTGCGTGTCCCTGGCCCTGGCTGGTCTCAGGACCAGCCCTGAACCCTTCACAGTGGCCAGGGGATAGGGTGGCGTGGGCCCAGATCGCACGCTTCACGCCTGAGTGTTGGAGACCATGTGACCCATGGCAGGTGCTCATAGAGCGGGAGGGGATTGTTCCTAAAGGAAAACTAGAGTTTGGAACCAAAAGAAGCGGGAAGGTGGGTGCTTGGGAGGCACACAGTAAATGCCCTCCACAGGTTCGCTACTTGCTGCTTCAAGTGTGGTCCCTGGGCCAGCCGTGTGGGCATAGCTGGGAGCGGGTGGGACAGGCAGAGTCTCAGGCCCCACTCAGACCCACCGAGTCAGAACCTGCATTTTAAGAAGATCCCCTGGTGATTTGTGCACTTTCAAACACGCTGCCCTTTTCCAACGCACCCATCACACTCAGGGTGCTTCCGTGGGCACGTTGCCGCCATCTACCGCGCAGGCCCCTTCTCAGGCTTCTCTGGGAGCCCTGACAACATCCAAGAGGATCCAGGGCGGGATCAAGCACTGGATCTAGTGGTCATGTCTCTTTGGTCTCCTTCAGTTTAGAACAGTTCCTCAACTTTCCTGGACTTGCATGACCTTGACACTTGAGGATTTTGTAGGATATGTCTCAATTTGGGTTTGTCTGATAGTTTTTCATGATTAAATTCGGGTCCTGCACGTTCGCAGTGCCTCCTATCAGGGGGCTCATGATTTCCACTTGTCCCACATTGGCAGTGCTCACTGAGAGAGATCACTGGATTAAAGGGGTGTCTGCCAAGCTTCTCCACAGTCGAGTTACTATTTCCCCTCCTTAATGAGCATTTTATAAGTAGATAACTTTAAAACTACACAAATTGCCTGTTCCTTACAAAACTTGCCATTTATCCATTTTTCATTTCTACCAACATAGATAGGTAGTTTCCTATGTTAATCAGTGGGTTAAAATTCTTTACTATCATTATTAATTTTGATGCACAGATTTTCCTGATTTGGCCAGTGAGAGTCCCTTCAAGCTGGCTTCTTCATCCTTTTGACATGTCCCCACCATTGAGAACTTTGTGACATTTTTAATTTCATCTTATATTTTCCCACCCCAGCACTGGAATCAGACATTTCTCTAAGGAATCTTTGTTCCTTTTAGTGGATGATGGTGTTTAGAAGCCAAGATCCAAGTGCTAAGTACACTCAATGCTGTTGGGGCATCTCTGCTCCCACCCCCTCTCAGTGAACAGAGTTTGGGAATATGCACACATGCTCAGCAGTGTATGTGAGTTTACATCGATAACACCCAGTTCTAATCCAGTACCCAGAGTTGAGTCTAGTTCCTCGGCCTTTTCAATTTGTAATACTTCCCTCCAATTATTCTTCCAATATCCTTATCCCATCTCATGTGATTAATCCCCTGCATGTGACCAATCTCCCAGCTACACCACGATGCCTTCCCGTGTGGACACCCTGCCCACCCTGCTTGGGCTCTGACTTTCATGCCAAGCTGTCCCTGCATCAGCACAGCTGCCCGCCTCACCTTGTTCTGACCCACCACAGCTCCCCTTGCCCACTGTGGGCACCTAATGGATTTAGGCCTGAATGAAGGAGAAGGGGGCAGGGGGAAAAAGATGTTGGGTTTTTTTGTTTTTAACTCCCCAAGGCCTTCTGATGTGCAGTGAAGTTGACAGCCATTAAGATATATCACCTGACCTTGAGAGCCCACCACTCAGTCCACAGAGGGCTTTGTAACTCAGTGGGCTCTGCGTGCTGGGCTGCAGGGGGCGAGGGGCAAAGTGCAAAGGCAGGAGAGATGGAGAAACCCCAGGAGCTGCCATTTCTTTGTGTTTTTTCCTAAAGTAGTGGTTCTCCACCCTGGTTGCCCACACAGGAGCTTTAACAAAGGCCAATGTGGACCCACGCCCCAGAGAGTCCGATTCCATGGGTCTATTGTTGAAAATGCTCTCCAAGGTGTGTGAGGCCAGGGAAACAGAGAACCAAGGCTCTAGAGGCACACGGTTTGTTCAGTGAGCCCCACCCTGCGCTGCAGAAGGATAGGGACTTGCTTGTTTGTACTTATCAAGTGCATGGGTTGCAAACTTTTCCTGTTAGAGTTAGACAGTAAATATTTTAGGCTTTGTGGGCCTTTGTGGTCTTGTTGAAATTACTTAACTCTGCTGCTACAGTGTAAAAGCAGCCGTAGACAGCAGTAAAGTACTAGTGGTGTGGCTGTGTTCCAATAAAATATTATTTGCAAACACAGGCGGCTTGCTGGATTTCGCCTGAGGCTGCAGTTTGCAGACCCTCAATCAAAAGGTAAAGGTTCTGAAATTTGCATTTTAAGCCCTCCAATTTCAAGTTATGCTATTTATGAGGAATTTTAATTAAATGGAGGATAATTACCTATATTGACTCAAATACATCCTGATGTGATTTTTAAAAAAACTGTTCTTGTTCCTATAGAGTATATAAGACATAATCTTGCCCTGGGTTAAGCCAGTCTACAGACTTAGATCTTACACTTGCTTTTGTTTTCTTTTCTTCCACTTCTCTTCAACTCTTGTCTTGTTCTCAAATGTCAAATTCAAGTGTTAACAGACCTGGGGCCACTGGTTCTACTGAGACTCAAATTAGTCGCTTAGAAGAGGAGCTTAGCACAGCCTACAACCCACTTTGCTTTGGGCCTGACTTGCCCAGGGGTCTGGAGCACCAAACAGGCTTGGAAGAAGAGAGCAGGGGACTGGAATGCAGGGAAAGTGATGAAGCATTTTGTTGGTTGACCTGTGCTTACTTAGAAAATATAACCAATGCTCATGCCTGCAAGGCAAGAAACATCCTTACTTGCAAATAGTCTGAACTAAGTAATTTAAATCTCAAGTCATCTGTCATTCATACTTGGTAATGATTGGGTCTTCACTTACAGTGGCCTGGGTACAGAGCGATTAGCCTCCGTGTCCCTACCACAGGGGCTGTGCCTTCCTGAGGCGGCGTGGGCAGGGGAGGCAGGCAGGCAGATGGAGCACAGCCCATTTTCTGCTGGGGAGCTGGGAACAGCAGCACACATGGTGTTAGCAGCTAATAATTAAAACAATGTTTAAGCAGTGGGTTGAGATTTTTCAAACACATAGCAATTCAATAACACTTCTCTTTAATAGCACTCTCACATTTGTTGTGTGATTGCCTTTTGTTAAACTGTATTTTTGTTTCGACAAACTGCTAATAAGCTCTACTGTCCCATGCTAAAAATGAAGCTCTTTATTTTCGTTGATTCCACAACTGCACAGAATCCTTGTGCTGTGCTTGGGCTCAGCTTGAGGTTGTCTTTTATCACACATTTGAGAGGTCTCCTCCTCCTCCTGACAGTAAACTTGCAGGTTTTTATGTGGACACTCAGGTTTTAAAGAACTCAACCACACTGACTTAATAACTGGAAATCCTGTGTGAAGACAGCGTGTGGGAAGAAACCCCCCAGTGCATGCAAACCATACATCTCAGAAAGAATAGGACTTGGAAAAGGGGAAGGACACGATGTTGTGCCCATGGATTCAGTCAATGATGCTTACTGGGCGCCTACTGGACTCTAACTGGCAGCTCTGCGGAGTGCTGGAAGAGCTCACGTCCTGGGGGACGAAAATACCCTGACAGCCTAAGGTGTTCAGAAACTGGGAACACTGTACTAATGTGAAAGGCTTTTTAAAAAATAAAGTATCTTTGCAGTATAGAGTCCAGTGACTTTTAACTAGATTTTTAACTTACTTTAAGCTGGATTGTTTTGTATTCTCACAGAAGTAAATGACTTTAGTCGGAATCGGAGCCATGTTACTTACCACTGTGATCCTGGGCAGATTCACTCCTGTAAGCCTGTTTTCTCTCCACGAATATCAGCCCAGAGGCGAGCCTGACACATGGTAGCAGCTGCTCGGTGTCAAGCACATAGAACCCGCCACCAGACGACTTGGTTTACTGTGAGCCTGCAGCCACGATTATGCTAGGGCCTGGGATACGATGAGACCAAGAATGAGTCCTTCAGGAGTTCACCTTCTGTGTGGAAGACAATCTGCGACACCTGCTCTGAGGAAGTGGCAGTGGGAGCCCGGAGAGGGAACAATTAATATGACAGGTGGGGGTAGGGGCCCAAAAAAGCGAAAGAGAGGTAGTATTGATGGGGCCTCAGTGAGCACTCCTTAGAAAGGGTGGTAGGGCCGCAGGCGGCCTGTGTGTGGAACGGATGGACCCCAGCCATCCCCAGAGCTGTGAAACGCGCCCCCAAACCTAACGCAAGATGAGACCCCCTTCCTTTTGAGTGGCGATTTCACACACACCCAAACTCTATCTTCTAATTCTTGTCACTTTGTTCCCCCAACTCTCAAATACCTGCTTGTCCTTAAAACAGATAAGCAGTGACTTGGTGGGTTCTCCACACAAACCATGAGCCATTTCACAAGGAAATTCTGGCCACAACAGAGATCACCACACACTTTTAATTTAAAATGTTAAGACTGAAGTCCTTCGAAATGGCTTAAAGCGCTCCTGCAAACATTGGATAAGATAAAAATGAGGAAGCCCACAGATATTTGGAGTACACTTTATTCAAAGCATTTCACCTTAAAATTACATTAGGTCCAAATACATAAACATTAATTATATAAAATATTCTTTCCCAAAGTTTACAATGATACGTTTTCTTTTCAGAATTAGCTGCTTGCTTATGAGTCTAAATGTATTACAGAGAGCTACTATAATTTTATTTGCTCTACATTTCTATTTAGCTCTTGAATATTTAGAAAGCGTTCATAAGCTCACCTAGAATATACAATTATTACACTTTAAATATTTACATTCGGAAGGGGAATGAATACAATGCTAAAGATATTTGACCAAAGTCCTTTGTTAACACATATTTTAATGGTCCCTGCCTGCTGTTTAGAATGCTAAATGAGGGTGTTTAAGCTATTTCCTCTGTACCATACTGACATTTTATGAGTCCATATGCAGGACCTGCTCAGAGTCACTTCATGCAAATGAGACTGGACTTCCAGTTTCCCCAAAGATGACTATGAAGTCCAGATTATGTTCCAAGGTTATGCCTCACCTTAGAGACTTATTTTAATCAATGTCAATAAAACTTAGCTCACTTAACTTGTGGTTAGCATGACTGCAAAAAATAAGGAAGGCCCACTTCAGTGGAACCAGTAAAGACAGGTGCACAAGGGCGAGGCTTCCGGCCAATCAGACAACAGCAAAACTGTAATATGTACAAGTCCTGCACCTGGGCAGGGCACAAAAGAAAGCTCGTATAGGCTGGGATGCAGCACTGGCCGAACCTCCTGTTCCTGAAGTCTAACTCCACAAAACAGAGTGAAAGTAAAGCATGGCTCACGTGACAGCTTTCCCTTCTTGGTTTCCTTCCATCAACCCTCCCTCTCGCGCCTCCTGCAGGCAGGCGCTGGATGCGGGAGGAGAATAGCCCAGCTGGCCAGCAGCTGCCTACTGCCCCCAGGCAAGGTCTCCCTTCCAGGTAATAAGTGGAAACCAACTTGGCACTAAAACCGGAACACTAGGCAGTTACCAAATTCAAATGGACAACGAATACCCACAAATGGAGATAATTCTCAAATAAAACATTTTCAACATTTTGGGTAATCAATTACCTCATCCTCATATAGGTCAATATTCCATATTTAAAACACCTTAGTAATGGTAAACTATCTTGACTGTCTATCTTATTTTTTTGAAGCTACTACTTATAATGTAGATATTAACAGGTGTGAGAGCCAATATGGGATAACTTTTATTTTTCTAAAATTCAATGCAAACCCTTTCATGATTTCACCCTTTCATATATGAAATCACATATTATGGGGATATGAGTATGAAGTAACAAACCTGGTATGGGATATATCTTGTGCTGACAAAGCCCTGAAACCAAACTGAGAGGAAATGCATGCCCTTACTTGCTAAGTCATGAACAGAGGCACATCGACACAGGCAAGGCAGAAGGGAAAGGGGAAGCACGCTGAGGAGCTTTCAGACACGGGCAAACGGCAAACTTGCACCAAGTGCAAGCCACAGTCTCTTTGGGTCTCTGCTTCTTACAGGAAAACAATGACTGGATTGGATGACTCTTAGTGCCAACGTTTTACAAAATTAGAAAATTATGCAGGCCTTCACACAGGTAAAGGATTGTTACATCATAGAACATTAAGCACTAGAAAGCTCACTGAGCATCATTTATCTAGCTCCAAAATTTCTCAGATCAATACTAACAAGCAAGTCTTAAATAAAGGAATAACATTTTAATGAAAATAATAAATGAAATAGAGCAGGGAAACTGAAATAACTGGGAGAGGAACCCTGAAAAATTATAGCTTCATACATCATAAGCATTAAAGAAAATGCTATAGGCTGGGCACGGTGGATCATGCCTATAATCCCAGCACTCTGGGAGGCTGAAGTGGGAGGATTGATTGAGGCCAAGAGTTCAAGACCAGCCTGGGCAACAGAGCGAGACCCCCTCTCAAGAAAAGAAAAGAAGAAAAGAAGAGAAAATGCTATAGATTTATGTCATTACCATACTGACATTTTATGAGTCCATATGCAGGCCTAGCACTCTGGGAGGCCAAGGTGGGAGGATCACTCAAGGTTAGGAGTTCGAAACCAGCCTGAGCAAAACAAGTGAGACCCCGTCTCTATTAAAATAGAAAGAAATTAATTGGCCAACTAAAAATATATAGAAAAAATTAGCCAGGCATGGTGGCGCATGCCTGTAGTCCCAGCTACCCGGGAGGCTGAGGCAGAAGGATCACTCGAGCCCAGGAGTTTGAGGTTGCTGTGAGCTAGGCTGACACCACGGCACTCACTCTAGCCTGAGCAACAAAGTGAGACTCTGTCTCAAAAAAAAAAAAAAAAAAGTCCGGTAACCAATTGTATGCAGTTATTGTCAGTAAGATGTTGAACACATATAACAAATAAAAATACATAAACAAAGGAATTTTTCATTTATTTATTTTTCCTTTCAAATACATTTAAAAATAACATATAGACAAAGAATCGCAAATACACACAAAACACAATAGTGCCTACTTATTTCACAAAGAGTTTTCCTTTGATTCTTTTAGCTGCTTTACATAAAATTCAAAGGTTTCCTGTTAAGGAGAAAAAGAGGGAGGGAAGTTACAGATAAGGTCATCAGCAAGAGGTGATGGTACAAAACTTAAAAATTCTAAAAGACTACAAAATGGTAGCTACGACTGTTGAGCCCATGTCAGACACCACCCTTCAAACTTCAGCACTTCTTGTTTCATGAAATCACAAGTACAGTGGCCCCAGGTTCAGAGTTAAGGCTAGCAGCAGGAGCCTCTGCTGTGTGCATGTGCATGTGTGTATTTACACCTGGGTATGGAAGGTTGAGACGTTTCAAATAAACATGGTGCGGTGACTTTCAGTTCAATGACAAAGTAAAAAGGAACTTTGCATATGTGATTTCTTGTATTAAAGCAAACAAAATTTCTTCCATGAAGAAATAAAAAACAATTTACTTAAAATGAACAAGTAATTAACAGTGACACAATATGCTCAGCTACTGCAATACAAGCCTGTTTCAAGTTGAAATGATGAGAGAACTACCCCAAGGACATTTGATAAACGTATACCTGTAGCTGAAGATCTGAGACAGACTTTGTATCTTAGACTTCAGCCCCCAGAGCTGTGCTCTCCCACAGCCACAGCCAAGGCTGCTCAGCCCCTCCAGCCCTCCCTGGGGGATCTTCACAGAGATCTAATCCTCATGTAATTAAGTCTCTGACTTATTTTTTTAAACACTGTTTAAAAAACATTGTTATGAAGCATACGTAAATCTGTAGAGGTATTTTTCCCCTTAATTAAGAAATACTCACAGGGGGCTCAGGGAAAGGGACAGGCTCTCCAGCATTCTTGAGCAAAAGTGCGTAACGCTTTAGACACAGATCATTCAATTTTACGTTCTTTTCAGTCAAATGTTCATATAGCGCTTTAGCAGATGTGACATCTTTGTCCAAGGCTGAAAAAGTTAAAGAAGAAAAAGGTATTAATCACAGATAAGGAGAACTATCTTCCTCTTTTCCCCCAAACACTCAGCCACTCAGGGACTCCCGGATTCCTTTATCCCATGGCAAATGAATACCTTAACACCTTCAGTGAGAAGCTATGCCCAGAGCTACAAACTCTCCTGCCCCTGCTCAAAGTGCCTCATTTAGCCTCATCCACTTTGAAGGAGAAGGAAAATGACACATGTGGCTATATGTAAAGAAAGGCCTTTAAGATAGTATCAATGATGCCATACACTTAGGTTATTACATTATTTTGAAGACATATCATAAACTGATCACAAACTAAAGCCCTCAATCATAAAATGATACAACACACCACTCAATCCTCTTCTGCTTAAAACCACACTCTGAAATCAAGCTAATAACCTAGGGACTGTCGTGTGAGGAGCATGTAAATCATGTGGAAATCCACATCAACATCAAGATCAGCAGCTAAACAACACCAAAAAACCTTTATTACACTGTCTTATAAAATAAGCAAATATGGAGAATATAGTTAGCCATAATGACCAAAAAAAAAAAAAAAGGAAAAAGAAAAAATCAGTAAGGAGATTGAGGCAGGAGGACCCCTTGAGGCCCAGCCTGGGCACCATAGCAAGATCCCATCTCTACAAAAAAATTTAAAAATTAGCCTGGTGTGGTGGTGTGTGCCTGTAGTCCCAGCTACTCAGGAGGCTGAGGTAGGA